GTTATTTTTTTCGAAAATACATAAACATTGATTCATCTGTTTTCAATTTTTTTATTTTTATTTTAAACCTTTCCGGTTTCTCACCGCTCAATGTGCTGATTCTTTGTCATTWTTATTCTTCCTAACTAACTTTCTTAGCCTTTAATTTAACAAAAGGCACTCTCCTCATCCGATCTTTAATAAATCAGTTATAGGTAGCCAAGGGAGATTTTTTGTCTACGTCTCACTAGAACTAGCAGACTGGATTCTATTGAGGATGTTTTGCGATTCTAATATTCTCTTAATAAACTCCTCTCTAATGCACCATGCTAAATATTTGCCCTCCCTCAGTCGCTCACATTATACTTGTTCGTGTAATAGTTATCTATGCGATTCAAGTTTCAATATTTTATATACTCACTCTTTTATTTTTTGCCGCGGGCATCAGCCTCGAAGTGTATGATCTTTGACTGAATTCCTTGAGGTAACGGCCGAAATTCTTGATCTGAGAGCCGGAGAAAACACCCTAGTTCTTTAGATGTCGTGTCGTTCTTTAGATGTCGTGTCGTTCTTCTCATTGCCTCTTAATGACAGCTCCCTTTGATACTTGAAGGTCTAAACTATCCTCTGCTCAAAGGCTAGTGCCGAGTGGGAAAAACTTGTCTTATTGTTCAGAGCTGTTTTCGGTCGCCCCTCGAATGAACAATCTGTTGGGACTTCAATATTTCAGTACCTCAAACTAGATAATTAAAGTTTAATAAGATAGACAAACTATCAAAGAATCGTGACAGCTGTTTGTAGCTTAATGAAAGCGGTCGCCAAATTCTTTAATATAGTTCTTATCGAAATGCCAATTTGGCCCAACGCATACGAAGTGCGAAAATAATCTCCTTCCTTATGAAACGTCCTAGCTCAGCGTGAAACTGAGATTATAAGGTCCAGTGGGGAAAATTACAGAAAAACTAGACAATAATTTATCCATATTAGATATTGACTGCGTGGAACAGCGGTGAGCAAGGACGTAAGATTTCTCTCTGCGCTGAACTGGAGAGCGATAATGAATACATAGAAGCACGTTCATAGCAACGGCAGGAAGAGGAACTTTATTTCAAAGTCATAATGTCTCGCTTTGGGTAAGATTTCTGATTTGATAATTTTAGTTTTGAACTTATGATATGAGTAGGTGTTTTGTCGCTTTTTGCGTTTTCTGGTAAGATACTTTTGATGTTTGAAATTCAGTGTTTAAGATTATCGTGCTCAACCCTGCGAAATTTGTGCTAATGTTCAGGTTAGTCTCGTTAGTTTTTGCCGCTCGAAGCGCTTCTAGTTTCAAACAGCAATCACAATACAATATATTATTTTTCCGCATGTAACCTCATGAATTTTCAAACAAACGAATTGATTTTGAAAGTGGTTTTGTATTTAGTCGTTTATTCTTTTCCTTTTTAATTTTTAATTTTCCACTCAAAAACGATAAAATACCTTTTCAAGTTGTTATCTTTTGGTTTGTTTGTTAAGCTACCTTTGCTGTTTTCTAAAATGAATTGCCTTAGCTTATTCTTCCTATAGGTCAAAGTAACGCCTTTTCTATTTGTTTTTTAAGGTCGTAAAATAAAATGACTACGCCGCAGCAAATCATTTTTTTCCACGTTCAGAGAGCTCTGAAACAAGACTATTATTTTCTAGTTAAGCTGAGCTTATCTTTTTAACGAAATTTTGCTTTTTTATCTCATCTTATTTTGATTATCATCGCTCAAATTGGCAGAAGTCGCTTTACTCAAAAATTCATCGACGGTTCTTTTTAACCTCATCTTATAAATTTATATTCTATCTATTTTTCAGCTATTTGTCGACGAATTCCGTAAACCATACCAAACGATAATTTGTTATTTTCCCTTAGAAAACTATATGTTTAGTAAATGTTGAGGATATTTCGCCCCTGAGCCTTAACATTTAGTCCATACATAATATTTAAATGTCGGGTCGTTTAGTTCCATGTTTTTGCAAAACTGAGTCGGGAAGTTGTTGATTAAACATTGGCTTATAGCCTTGAGCTTACCTTCTCTCATACCACTCAGTATGGCACCAAAAAAATTATAAATATTATTTATTGATTTTGTGTAGTTTAAGTTAATTTTTAGCGGGGAATTTCCAACTGTTTTCTTGGAATTTCAGATAAATAAGTTCAGTACCTCTGAATCGACTTATTTTGAAAATCCTTTATCCACTTCCACCGACTAAACTTAAAGATTTGTTCAAACAAGCACTTAGTACCTAATACTAAGCATTTAATGGTAGCTTGAAATACGAAAATTATTCCTTTCCCGTTTCGTCTTTGATTTGGAAATCAGTTCATTCCGTTCCCCAAGTTGTCTGAATGTATTGCCTTTTTGCTAAGAATCCAACCATTTGAATACACGAGTCTAATAGTGTGAAAAAAATGTCCAACCATGCCAAGTATGACGTCATGCAGTTTGTTGGCTTTCCTGTCGATAAATTCTATCCACGTTTTTAATAGTATTTCTTTTAAAAATAGACTCGTACTTAAAAATGATAAATTTGCTATTAAAAATTATCCCACGTATTAGACTGAACCAGCAGTCAATCGTGGGAGTCAGTTGAACCAAAAATATAAAAAAATCGAATATCTTTGCGCAAAAAATAGGTAATTATGTGGGCATGAAGTCTCGAGCGTGAGCGTACGTTAAGATAATCTGCTTTCCCGAAGGTTTATTTGTCGATGATAAATGATAAAAAAATAGAAATTATTATCCTGAGTAAAAGCTAAAAATACCTGCTAGGACTAGATCTTAATGACCTAAAGTGCTCGATAAGTTAACTAAGCTCTTTCAGCTGTCGAAAAGACCTCCCGATATTTTTCTTTTTAAAACACCTTGTAAATGCGAGTCAGCGCAGGGACGGCGGAGCACACTTTAAATGGGGGGGGGGGGGTGGGAGTGCTAGCTAGAATCTAAGACAAAATAAGATTTAGTTCTCGTATAAAGGTAGCCTGAAGACACTCCAGGTTCCCCGATTCGCCGTACCTATACAAATTTTATATAGACTTTTGCCACTTTTTCGATTGAATTTCGATTACCGCACGAAGACTTGTGTCTATGAAGTAAGATGAATATAAGAATCGGATTAGAGAGGTTGAACAGTACTAAGATGGCCGCAATGGAAACCGATATTGAAAGGTTTGAACTGACTGATTTTTTAAATGCTTAAATCAAATAGCAGTGTGGTCTGTTACTGAGAGGTCTTACTGTTTGAGGAGGGAAGTTTGAGCTATAAGTGCGGTCGATATAGAGATGTTAAATATGTTTGGGGGGGGGGGGGAATGGAAGTCATATTAACGGTCGATTTAGAAAGATTCATGTATATTAATATTTTGAGAAGGGTGGAAGAGATCGATATACAGAGGTTCAAGTATACCAATTTTATTGGGGGCTGGAGAGGTCGATATATAGAGGTTTAAGTAGATCAATATTTTATTGAGAGTTGGAGAGGTCAATATGTAGAGGTTTAAGTAGACCAATATTTTATTGAGGAAGTTGGTTTTCGATATAATGAATAAATAGAATAAAAAATTAACGAATAAATAGAATTTAACCGATAACAGTGACATTTCTACGGAGTATCTCTTCATCCATTGAATTCCAATCTAGAAGTTCAGATTTCTGCGGAGGGTAGAAATACCTAAAACCCGGAAATACCCCTCAACGCACAGGAGAGAACCAACAAACAACTCTCCACACATACAACACCGAGCCCGGCGGGACTCGAGCCCGGCGGGACTCGAACCCGGGTCGCATAAATGAGAGGCGAGTTTACATATTTTTTATTGAAGGTGGGAGCGGTTTCAACTAATCCTATTTTTATTCTTTTTTACTTAGCAATACGTTATCAGTCGACACAGAGATGTCAGCCGTAAACAGCAATCGAGCTTCGAGAGTGCATTTTGAAGACCCCGTTGACGAGGGAGACGACACAGACCTCGTATCCAAGAAGAACAAAACTCGCTATTGGTCGAAAGGGGAACGGCGGTACAGCGAGGCAGAGAAAGCTTTTCTTAGTAGAGTTAGGATAAGGTCTGTTGTGGGGCATAGTAGAGAGAAGAAGTTCGGGTGTTTGAAGTATTTTGATCCGGGAGGTACGTAATACTTCATGTTGGATATGTGGATATACTCTTGTTATGTTTTTTTATTGCTTTCTCAGCGCGGATACTTAGTTACAAATCTGACTTGATGTACGATTCTTGCACGTGGCAAATGGCCACCGTGTTGGTTGATCATGATAACATAAGAACCCTGAACCCATAGAAAATCCTTTGTAAAATTTATCCAACATGGCGGCTATAACGTCACATGTGCGTGAACAATTTTCTCAAAAGTCACTAGTCTCCTACACAGCCGCTATTAGTGTCGTCACGCAACGTGGGCTTTGAGCGTTGCGTGACGACACATCAGAATGATACATGATCTCAGTTTAAAAAATATAGCGACGTCATAGAGCCACGTGAAAGTATGGACACTGGCAACGTTTGCATGGACTAACGAAGTTTCAGTTGCGCCGTACGCCCGAGTCTAATTGATCAAGGAAGTCAGCGTTTTTTTCCTTATTATTATTTCCACAGAGGACAGAGTTTATTTATGGCTTTTAGTGGTTACTGCAGCGGTTCTTTACAATATATGGACTATCATCCTACGCACGGCTTTCTCTCAACTCAACAAAGACCTCTTCATTATGTGGATAGTTCTAGACTACACTTGTGATATAATTTACGTCGGCGACGTCATTGCCAGCATGAGAACAGGTTTCTTAGAAGAAGGGATTCTTCAAACAAACAATCGTAAAATTCGAAAACACTATTTTCGCTCGGCCTCTTTCTATCTGGACGCCGCTTCTATCATTCCTCTTGACTTCTTGTATATTTTCGTCGGTCTGAATCCAGCTGTACGGCTCAACAGGATCATCAAATTCCATCGGTTTTGGCACTTTTTGGACCGGACTGAGAGCAGGACAACTCTTCCTAATGTAATTCGCATCGCGTCTTTAGTTCATTTTATCCTGATGATTATCCACTGGAATGCGTGCATCTATTTCATGGTTTCGCAGGCGATTGGTTTCGGGACAGATAGCTGGGTGTATCCCGGTACCCAAGCTCAAATGGGACCTAATAGTACCTACAATTCTCTCTCGCGGCAGTATATCTATTCATTTTATTGGTCGACGCTAACCTTGACGACGATAGGTGAAGTAACGCCTCCTCAAACAACAGTGGAATACGTCATTGTCACCTTTGATTATTTGATTGGTAAGTTCAAAATGGCGGGAAATTTTCGCGCGGTTTTCTGCACCTGTGGGAAGATTATTTTGGGGTTTCTTTGAACATTCCCTTTGAATGAAATGTGTATATATCAATAAAGTGATACCATACACTATTGTATGATCAATGACTCTAACTACATAGTAGCCATGGCCTTATTTGACTAGATTTCTACACATTTCGAAAAAAAATAAGGTACACTAAAAAATAGCTTATATGTTAAAGGTTAGTATCGAAGAGGTTTTGACAGCAATAGACTTATCTATCTTGGGCGTAATCATCCCATCTCAGACCACGTGTCATTCCCTAGAATATCATTTCTTTGTTTAACGGTTGCACACAAGAAGACACAGGAATATGGATACATCTTAAACAAAAAATATTATTCTCAAGATAATGACACGTAATCTGAAATGTCAAACATGCCCAAGGTAAATACACCTTTTTTACTACTCGTATAGCCCTACCATACTCACAGAAGTCAGTTCTACTTCCAAGAAAAGACCGAGTCGAGAGTCAACTTTATTCTAAAATCCAATCAAATGTTTCTAATTGTTTGCGCAACTTTTTTCGTCTAAAGGTGTACTGTTATTCGCAACAATTGTCGGTAACGTGGGCAACATCATCACCAACCTGAACGCAACCAGACTCGACTTTCAAAACAAAATGGACGGCGTAAAAGCGTACATGCGGTTTCACAAAATACCCCAAGATCTTCAGAAACGGGTTATCAAATGGTTTGACTATCTGTGGACGTACAAGAAGCACCCTGATGAAGAGGAGATTCTTCTTTCGTTACCTGATAAACTTCGTGCTGAAATTGCCATTAATGTGCATCTTGACTCACTGAGAAAGGTGACGATATTCCAGGACTGCGAGTCGGGCTTTCTGTGTGAGTTGGTCTTACGGCTACGTTCACAGCTCTTCTCGCCCGGTAAGAAAGCGAGCGAATTTCGTATTATGGGGAATGTGCGCTGTCATCGTTGCTTTCAAATGGCTTCCCTGTCTTAACCAATCAAAACGCGACTGATAAAACGCAGTCAATCTAATCAAATTTTGATCCTTTTTTCTTTAGGAGATTATGTTTGTCGCAAGGGAGAAGTTGGACGAGAAATGTACATCGTCAATCGAGGCAAACTAGAAGTGGTTTCAGAAAGAGGAACCAAGATCTATGCCGTTCTCGAGGCCGGTAGTTACTTCGGTGAGATCAGTGTCCTTTGTATGAGTAGCGCAGGAAATCGTCGCACTGCTTCGGTTCGATCAGTGGGCTACACAGAACTTTTCTGCTTGTCTAAAAACGATCTCACGGAAGTTCTGAATGAATACCCAATTATCAAAGAAGAGATAGAGAAGATAGCGAAAGAGAAGCTAGAAAACGATAAGAGACGAACAAGCATGGCGTTCAGCCGGACGGAAGTTGGTAAGAGAGACACGTCGGAAGGATCCATGGTCGATGATAACGTCGTGACAAAAATGATCGAAAAAATTGAAAAACTCGAAGCGGATAAAGAAGACCTTTCGACAAAACTACAAAAGCAGAAAAGTGAATATGACGAGAGACTTGTTACCTTGGAAACGGCGTTGTCTGAACTTTTAAGGAAACGTTCGAATGATGAATCTTCTCCTTCACCTTCTCTTAAGACATCCAGTGAATCTATTTGGAAAAAAAGATAGCTGGACCCACTTATTCTATTTAGTAAATTTTATTCTGTCTGTCCGTCCACCTATTTGTTCTGTCTGTCTGTCTGTCTGTCTGTGACTGTCGTATTTGACGTCTTATTGCGGTAGCCTCTTACAGTCAACTCTTGTTACAGCGGACACCCTCGGGACCGTCATTCCAACTTCGTAATAGCGAGCGTCCGTAATAGCGAAAATTATTTACGTCATTTCTTTGTCAGTATTTTTGTCGGGTATTTTTTTCTCCTGTCCGTAATGGCAAGGTGTCCGTAATATCGGGGTGTCCGCAAGGCGAGAGTTGACTGTAGTCCTGTATCTCTACTCCTTTGTCACTATCTCTCTGCTATCTGTCTGTTTGTCTGTCTGTCTGTCTGTCTGTCTCTCTATCCGAGTGTCTTTCTATATGCACAAAAATCTCACTTCAAAACTAGAACTACACTTTTTCAATTCAAACTTCTCAATACAGCATGACGTTATTCATATTCCGAACAAATTTTTAAAGGACTCGAGACCTATTTGATTACATACGGCAATAGTGAAGAGACTATAGTTAGCCACGATACTAAGGGGGAGGGTGATAGAAATGTTCAGTTGAGGCTTTGAAAAAGGGGCAAATGAGATTGCAGTATTCGTACTTTATCAAGAATATTGATGAATAATTACCAAAATGGTAAAAAGACAATGGTATGGCGGCCATGTTGGTGGAATTAACAAGACAGATTAATTCGTCAAAAATATTGCTATTTTGAGACTTTTACCGAGGGTGTCAAAAAATGGCGGCCATGTTGGAGGGAAATGAGAAGTCAGTCGACCAACATGGCGGTGCAAAATGTGCTATTTATAATCGAAGTTATAGATTACAACGCCTCCCCAACAAGAAGACTCCGTAAACTTTTCTATAAACTCGTGCGTCTTCACATGTTAATGGTTGTTATGGAAACCTTGTACATTGTCATAGGAACGCGGGCAACCTCAACCTCAGAATAGACCTTCGTACAACTAGTAAAACTTTATTTTTATTTTCTGAACATTTAAAAATCTAAATCTAACTATTTTGCGTTATTTACAATGTTATGATGAATTTTAAGGCCCCTTTATTTCGGCAAATGAAGATTTTTTATTTCCCCTGATAGTAAGTTTAATAAAACGATATGTACATGGCGCGTATGTGTACAGGTTTATACTGATATTCCTACCCTGGCAAACTTTTTTCCCATTGGTCTACGGTAGTATGAATGTAATAAGAACTTAAAATGCTCAGATGCAAAATAAATTATCTTCCAGGTTCCAATTTTAAAGAGTATTTTGTAATATCTTTGAAAAGTTTTTGAAAAATTAGGTGAAAAAAAGCTATTGATTATTGAAAATTCACCTTTTTGTGACTACTGTTTTGCTGTTTTTACATTCGAATATCATGTTTTAGTTTATTGTATACTACTAGTGGTAGTATGGTAGTATTAATTACTGGTTTTTGGGGACCAAAAATGAACCTTGAGGAACTCCAGTAGTTTTTGGAAAATAATTACGAAAGCTCATCCACCCATAAATATTTTGAGTAGATTTCAATTAAACACTTCTTAAATAACAACTTCTTAAGTTTAAACCCAATTTGATTATAAACATCTACTGTATTTGTTGCTTGAAAAGATTATCTAACTAGTTGGTTAATATTGCTGGAGAGTAACTGTAATCCCCTCGTACCGGTCGACTTGGCAGACCATGATGCATTGCGGCCTGCATGTCGACAAACTCCTCCAATACGTCTGGATAATAGCGTTCATTCGTACTGCTGCTACTGGACTGGAGAGGATAGACGGAATTGGAAGCCGTCATGACACTAGGGCTGAACATGTAGCCTGATGGATAGTTTCGTTCCGGGAGGGGGTACTGTGAATAATGTTTGACGTGGTCCATAACCATCGGCGAAAAGCTGCGATGATATTCGTAGGGCATATTGCTTGAGCTGGTTGAGATCCCATACCCGCTATTTCCCATGGTGCTCTTCGAGCGCGGTGACAAGAAGCTCCCAGCATCGTGGCTTGAGTATCGGTCAATACCGGTATACCCTCTGGGTATTTCATAGTTGTTGGCTATTATATTACTCTCGCTCCCAACTGACGAAGAATGCATTTGGTTGTAGCTGTTCACTGATTGGCTAATAGGTGACAGCTGGTTGTTTGAATTCTGTGATGAACCATAAGGATATCGCGGGCTCACTTCTGGGGTGGGTGGGTAGACAAAGTGGCCTTGGTCAGAGGTGGTCATTTTGTTGACGTTATTGGTAGGGGAGCCCATGGGGTGTGGGGACACGTCTCTRTATACTGGGGACCTCAGAGTTGGGACGGAGATGGATACTCGAGGAATGTCTCGCGGGCTCAACATCCCATTTGTGGAGCTGGATGAGACTCGTCTCGATTTGGTATACTTGACACATGGTTCTCTGTCGATGTCCATAGTCTCTTCTCCATCAAACAGAGGAACTGCAAACAAATCAAAGCGATGATTATTAACTCACTGAAAAGTAATACTTGAAGGTATGAGTTTGTGCTTGCCCGTTTAGGCCTGGTTACTCGTGTATAAGTCTTGTTTGTGGTGAGGCCTGGCTGCTCAATTTGTCTAGGTGATGTCGATGTGTGCCTAATTGCTGGTGTGTGGGGGCATGATTGCTCACGTCTAGGACAGGGTAGTAGTGTACAAGTCTAATGATTCCAGTGAACCTGGTTTTTAATCAATGTGAAGGCTTGGACACTATTGGCGTAGAGAGGGGTTTGACTAAAAGTCGTAAATTTTCCTATACTTGTTAGGCGACCTATGGATCTAGCGGGAATGAAGGCTTCAGTTTCTATATACTTAATATATAATAAATAATACTTAATATACTATATTTATATAATACTATAATACTATGTTTGGTTTTGTGCATGCCAGTTTTATATTTATATATTAGTTGATCAACTTACCATCAGGAACAGAGCTTTTGAATGGCATTACAGAACCGTCTTCCTGGTTGCTTTGGTTCTCGACGGTGTACAAAATATAGTCTTCAAGAAGCATATGAAGCAAGTGGAATGATCCTGGAAAATCAATTTCAATAAGATCAGACTTCGTTGCTCTTGGAACTCTCTAGTCGTATGGGTCGTATTTTAAAAATTATAAGCAAATTCTGCTTGAGTTGAACTTTTTAATGGTTTCCACAACACTCTGAACCAATCAAAAAGCAGGGAATTGCGCACCATTCAATCACAATGTTAAGATATGGAAGTCGCTGGATGCGCACTGCGTGATATTTCCCGACGAAATTTTGATTTTAATTTTCTTACCAAAGCTGTGGGCACTGTGTAGAGTGAGTTCACGCACAATTCTTATGCTAAAGAAAGACCATTTGAGCAGGAAATCTTGGGCGCATTTTTGGAAAGTCTGTCCTTCCTTGCTGACTTTCTGTGGAGGAGAAGAAATTAATGGAATGAGCTTGGCGCAACTACGTGTTTAAATGGGACCAGCTGGGCAAGAATCGACTTCTAAATTCCAATTCGATCTTGGAATGAGGGTCACAGGCTTGTCAGCCTCTGGTTTTTAAGTGCTACCCCACAAGGACGATTTAAACTGGATTGGTGGATGGATGAGTGCAGTAAGGGCACTCAGCTGTGACCTCTCCTAGATCTGCACAGGTCTACATCGAGGAGTGAGTAACCCATAGATTTCACAGTAAGGCGGTAGTTTAAGATTAATACCTTTGTCACAAATCGATCCACCAACGATGAAGCCCAATCTGCATACTGATCGATAGTTGCCTGCTGGTCTAATAACTGGGTGAACTCGGCGTGTACTAAGACAAAAGAACAATCCAAGATTAGCAACAGAACTTAAGGCGCAATTACACGGAGCAATTTTCTTTGCAATTTGTCTCGCAACTCCGTTGTGACCGGCACAAGTTGCATAAAGCATTGCCTCATGTAACCTACAGCGCAATTTGGAAAAATGTTGTGAGACAAGGATTATATGCTGGATGATCTTTTGGGAAACAGCTTCTTACTTTCTTTGATCATGACATAGTCTTCCTCCGAGTCTTGACTGAATGTCCACATGGCTTGACGGGCAATGCCTTCGAAGTCAATCTGACCCCAGTCGGCAAGCATTTGGATGACCGGATCAGAACTATGAAGCACGGTACGGGCTGCCTGTAAAGCGCACGAAATTATTGCGTTAAATATAATCGATTTTTTCAACCTGTTACATTAACCAGGAGTTTTATCCAAATCCCCCCGTAATGCTCGGTAAAACACGGTAGTTGTGTTCTATGCTCGTATACATGAGACAAAGCAAAAACTATTGAGGTGAGCCCCCAGGAGTTCATGAAGTCCACAGTCAGCTTACCTGCGCTAGATGTGTCAGCGATGTCTGTCTTCTCAACGAATGGGCAAAACTTTTAGCAACTGAAAAGTAGGAAACGAAGTGTGAGGCTGTGTTCGACTTTCGTAAGGCTAAAAGTAGCTAGGTGTTTAATCACGTGGTCTCGATTTCATTCGGAGGCCTGGTCACTCTTCAGTCACTTGCTCAGGAACCTTGATTCAATGAGTCACGTGGCTAGTGGTTTCGTTACATATCGAGATGTATGCAAACGAAATAATTTTTCATATTCTAGTTACCTTTAATTTTCTTTTGCTGTAAGGGCTGAGGCAAGTGCGCAAGGGATTCTTCCAGCCACTGGCCAAGCTGCTTTGCAAAGTGACGGATCGCTTGTGTAAGACTTTAGGAAATGAAAAGATTTAGGTAAGGTTAGGTTTTCACGAAGCATCAACAAGAGAGATAAAAGTATTTGAATCAATAACGACTCACCTCGCAGGTAGAGGCTGAAGTGTCCCTGGAATGAGAACTCCACTGATGGCCTAAAACGAAAATACAAAGGCAATGAGTCCACTGAACGTTATTTGATATTTATTGAATAGTGGCACATTTTATGCTTCTATTGCAAGCGCTTGTAAAAGTACGGGATAGCAACCTAAGCACCTTGTTTCAATACTTTCCAATAATGGTTTATAAAGGAAAGACTTCGATGTAAAATCAGAGTGTGAATTATCCTAGCATCATTATAATGACAGGGGCGTAGCCAGAATTTTCTATTAGGGATGATGGTCAATCTAAGCTGACCTCAATTGCAACCTATTATCCATTCCTCAACGTCAACGCATGCAGGTTTTATCGTTTCCAAAGAAAAGGCGTTCATAATCACCCTACGTCCTCTCTCCAACCGAACGCACCGCTAATAGTTTGTTACTGTTCTTGTCTTGAGATGTTTTTTTGGTTGTCGTACCTTATAAAGAATCGTATCGCAGATGCCAATAAGATTCACCACATCACTGCACCCCAACACCTCGAGCATATGACTCGGCATTCCTTGCCAGAAGTGAATCAAAAAGTTCTGCACCTAAAAATATAATAGTTGTAGTTTCAAATATCTTACAAATCTTATATATTGGATAGTCATTAAAGATGTGATTTGTATTTGTTTAAGCCATATTTTTCTCGGGGAAAATTTCCGAGGTCCACCGCTACATTTCCGTATATCGCCTGCATGAGATGATATTTCACATGTTCACCTCAATTGCATTACATTATTTAAAATATTTACCTCTCCGAAGTTTGCTCTGAGAATGGTATCGAGGATTCGCTGGCAATGTGCTCGGTACATGATGAGGAAAGTCTTCACCTGTGACGTAGTTCACAAAGCCGTTTTTTACAAATAGTTTAAGCCCGTTAAAATAAGGTGATGTGAGTGACCCTCCTTTTGGCAATCCCTGGGGAAGGAAAGCAAGGGTCACCTTTATCTTTACGGAGAGGACTAAGGTTCTCTCTCCTTCCTTCCTTCCCTTCTTCCTTCCTTCCTTCCTTCCTTCCTTCCTTCCTTCCTTCCTTCCTTCCTTCCTTCCTTCCTTCCTTCCTTCCTTCCTTCCT